TGCCTTTTTTTCTCCACAGAATAATGATGGTTGTGTTTTCTTCCCAAACAACTCTATCCTTGGTTTCATCTGTCCACAGTATATTTGCCAGTAGTGCTGTGGAATCTTCCGAGGTGCTCCTTTGCAACTTCAAACGTGCTGCAATATCTTTTGGACAGCAATGGCTTCCTCAGTGTGTCCCTCCTCATGTACTCCATCTTTTTAAATGTTTCCCTTATTGTAGATGTGTCAACAAAAATTTTCGCAATGTGCCAGAGATTTCTGTAGGTCTTTAGCATGACACTAATCTGGGATTCTTCTTTACCTCATGCAGCATTCTGCGCTGTGCACTTCTGCCACGATCTTATTAACAGGACCGACCAGCTCCAAAGGTAAGAGTGAGCAACAGTGCTACAACTTTCTCCATTTGTAGACAATCTTCCTTACCGTGGATTACAAGAACATCAATGGCTTTTGTGAGACAGCACTTTTTGAAAACCCTTCTGGAGTGGCTTCAGTGCAGAAGTCCTGACTCCAATTCTTTGATCGTGAGCTTCTGAGAGCATGAACTTTTCTGAAGAGGCATGGTTCCATCAGCCAGTGCATCCCATGAGAACCATAAAACCCTGAAACCATGTGTGTGTTTTTTAAGGGCAGGGACAGCTGGTCTACAAATTAACATCCAATATCGTTTGCACACTGATCTAGCACGACAGGAAACGTTTTGATTGAGCTCATCTCCCTGGCACCAATTAGCTCTGGTGAGACCAGTTCATTAAGATCCAAAGGCCTCACAAATACTTTTTATATCCTCCCTGCACTGTGAATGTTTACATTAATGTGCACATTAAACCATGGCAACACATCTAATGTTTGTGTAGTATTATGGTCAGCAGACTGTGTTTCTTCTATTGTTGTTGACTTAGAATGACGTTCAGAGCACATTTTATGCCCAATTCATGCAAAACTCTCCACGTAATCCCAAGGGGTTCACATACTTTTTTCTTGAAACTGTATGTTTGTAGTGCCCATATTTATAATATCAAATTAGAAATAAAATATAAATGAAGCATACCCTGAATGGGCAGCTGAATAAGTGTGAAATTTCACTTAACACTGTAAATTTTTTTAACTTTTGGAAATGCCAGTAAAATTTTGGCTGTCCAGTAAACTTTGGGTGTTGTGCTAAATTCCAAATCGCTATTGGCAACACTGACACTGACCCACTAACCTCAGGGATGTCTTTTGAGTTTTAATGATAATAAGACTTGTAACCAGGGGGGACTGCCTTTTGGGGAAACCCGGGGCCCGCCCAAGGGCCGGGGTCAGATAGGGGGTCCCATGAGATGCCCCGGGTCCTTTTTCAAAATTTTTTTTTGATTTGGGGGCAAGGACAGGGGGCCCCATGACCCCTTTTGCCCGGGGGCCCCATGATTGTCATCCGCCCCCTTGTAACTGTATGGGGAAAGGGGGCGGGGATCCCCCCGATCAATGCCATTCCAAAAAAGGACTTTGTTCCCCTGAAGACACTTCTTGCACTGAGACTAAAAGGGAATGGCAGATGGGATGGGAGTTGTAAAGCCGTAAAAGCTACCCGGGCTTTTTTCCCCCTTAAAAGCCCAAAAAAAGCAATCGAAAACATCTTTTACTCATAGGCTCTGAATGCTCCTACACTTATATTTCTGTTTTTTAAAGAAGTTTTAGATCCTAAAGGGGATGAAGCTCGGGGATGACTCTGTATTGAAGGTCAGGACCCCCCCAAAACCGAGACCCTATGAGCATCCAAGCCTTAAAGATGGCAGCTTTCCCGCTGGTTAATTTTCTCCGGCCCCATTGGTAAGCATTCACACAAAAACTGCCAAGAACCAATCAAGTTTCCCGGGGCACAGCATTAAGACGGTCCAGCAAAAATTTTTCCAAGACTCACCCTGAGAGAAAGCACAGGGCCTTTCCCCCAAAATTTATACCCCCCCCATCATACTCCAGTTCCCCTAAACCCCAAGGGGATAGCGGGGGGAAACAAAATATTCAAACTTATTTTCTTGCAACCCTCATACATAGCCATTGGCTAGGAACCTACTGACAACAACGAAAAAACAACCCTCTGACTTATGAAAAAACCCAAAATGCAAACAGCAAATCAAAAAGTGGCTGACTACACCCCAAGACAAAAACAAATTTTCCTATCACTTAGAAACCTATCTAAGAGGGTTACAGCAAAAATACTGAACCATTTTGGATCACACAAAATTTCTGAAGTCAGAAATCCTGTGTCTAAATAAACTGATTCATTCCACTTTTGTACACAGCCCCACCCTTATCATTCCACAATAATGGTATGTGATTAGAATTAGGAAACTTACAGGCCATCAACAGTGTGCATACCCTTCCGATAACTAATGTCTCCTCTTGTACAACCTACACTAGGGATGGTCAACTTTTCCTTGATAAGAGGATCTTGAGAGACATCCTCCAAAGGCAGCACATAATATTTCTTGTCAAAAGACAAACAGAAACACAACAGTATTCGGTGAAAGGACTGTGATCATGTGGAAGAGATGGTCAGACCACTGGGGGACACGTGTGTGGTGACACAATACAATAAGACCTGTTAGAGATCACCACTACAAAGGGCAATAGGGGAAAACACAGATGGGCAGGGCCTCATGGGCCCCACAAAAAGTGCCAAAGGCCACTTATGGCCCTCAGGCAAATGGGTTGGGGCACCAGCAAACCTAGGCCCTCAATTTTTGTGTTTTCGGTAGTAATGTAGAGGTTTGCAGGAGGAAAAAGTGAGAGCTGGAAAGTAAAGGGGATCAAAGAGACCGACACTCCTGAAAGTGTTGGTTTTCTGAAGTGGAGGGTTTCTTGTGAACAGAGCTGCATTCTGCTGATGGAGGCAGTGAGCAAGGAAAGTGTCAGGAATGGACTTGCCAGTAATGGTGGGACTCACCTTGCCTTGTGGGCTGCAGTACCAGGGCTGGCCAGCGGGTGCTCTCAGCAATCAGAGACTCAACCCTGCAGTCAGCCAAACACCTGAAGCTGATTACGGAGGTGTATTTAAGGGATGGCCAGAACCTGCAGTCTGTGCCTTGGTGTGTGTTTTTCTATGGGTCCCTGTATCTTGTTACCTGCATTCCTGTTCCTGTTCTGCCTGACTGACTGACTCGTTCCTGACCCTGCCTGATCCTGACCTCTGCTGACTTCTCCTGTTTTGATCCCTGGCTTGTGGACCCTGACCATTCTCTCCGCCTGCTCTCCTGTACCTACCTGCCCGATAGTTATCGACCCGGCCTGCCTGAGTACATTGTGCTCTATATGTATATGTACCTGTGTATCTGTATCAGTTTAGGTTTGGGTTTGTTTCACCTTGTTGTATGTATTTGTGTTAGCTTGGGGTTTGGTGCACTGTGTTTATGTTTGTATTGTTAGTCTTTAAATAAATTGTCTTATTTATACCATATCTGAAGCTTGCGTTTCCCTGTGTCAGTCCACACACTTCTGGTCATACCCGGAGCCCTGACAGAAAGTATTTACATTTTTATTTTGTTGTTAAAGAAAGGGATGTCTTACATGCCTGCTCGTCAGTTAAATCCAATATCCATTATATTCTGAGCTGTATTTGGACTGTAGAATGCACCATTTAATGTCTATGCATGGCTGGTGCTTACCACTAGGCAGCCGCCTGCTGGGGGTTGGGTAAAAAGGGAGGATTTTGTTCTGAGAGGGGTTTTTAGCTAGAGCAGGGATTTGGTGGAATGTTCCCTAGGGGGGGGGGGATTGAAAGCAATAGTGTATTTATGTTTTGTGCTGCCTAAGCAACACAAAAAATCTGAAACCCCCCACCACCCACCCTCCCAGTCACCCCCCACCACTTTGGGGGATTTTAGAGGGAAATTTGTGCTAGGAGATGGGATTGGGGTAAATGTGTGCTAGAAGAGTTGGACTGGGGAGGATTTGTGTTGGTGGGGATTAGGGGATGGAATTGTGCTAAGAGGGGGATTAGGAGGGGTTTTGCTAGGAGGAAGGATTTGGGTGGGGAGGAAGGATTCGTGCCGAGAAGTGTAATTTGGAGGTGGTTGTGCTAGGAGGAGGGATTTTGGGGTTTTATGTTAGGAGGGGGGATTTGGGGGAGAGGATTTGTACTAGGGTGGTAACATTTGAGGGTAAAGAGGTTGTGCGCTAGGAGGGGTGAAGTAGAACTACAGTAGAACTAACAGGTGAATCTTTTTTTTTTTGGTTGGGGGAGTAGGGTGCAAGTAGCTGATTTTGTCTAGGGCACAAAATTTAGTCTAGCACCAGCCCTGAGTGTGTGTAGATGCAAACATTTCTGTTTTGCTTTGGACAGAACAGGTAAGGGTTAAATTTCTTTGCATAGTTTGTATGTGTCCCTACTGGTGAGATTAGCCCTCTCTAATAGGCTACCTAGGCAAGATCAACTACTTGCACCCTCCCCATAATGTCTACTGACACCATGAACTGTGGATCACTGTGCTGCACACCCTTGGAATCCCAGAAGACTGTCACCAGCATTTAGCCCACTGATGGAACCCTCCCAGCCTCCTTCCTTCTTTCATTTTCTCTATTTTTTTTAACTTGACTACAGGGGTGCCAGCTGTTTGCAAGGAGCGCACAAAAACTGTATATTGCGCATTGTCTGTTTTCAGCACCGAACATCTAGAAGAGTGGCTTGGTCCCATGATAAAGTTTAACGTCTATGCAGTCACTCCTTTCTGTGTCGGGCTGTGACATTTTCGGCCGCCCTTCGTACAAAATACTTAGGGGGTTTGTTTATAGATGTTTTCACCAAGATTCGCACATTCACCCAAGATTAAAACTCCTGCCAGTGTTACCATTGATATTCATCTGCTTTACAATTTCAGCGTAAGAGAGAGGTCTATGCAAATGACAGCACCTACAGGATATCCTCCTCTGGACTACAAATCAGTATCTCTATATGGGGCCTCCATCATGTTTCCAGCTATTGCTTCCTTTTTGGAGTGGTCAGGAACTTATGATGCAAGAGGTTTCATAGTCACTAACTGTAACGGAACCGGACCCAGACCGCACTTGGGTATTTCCGTTATACTGCAGCTTCCCTGTCCTTACACAAATCCCGGACACCACCCGCTGATCATGCAGGAAATACACAGCACCAGACTTTTCTTAAGACAGGAAGTCAACCCCTTTTCCTTTATTTTTACACAAACACAAGATATATACACAGGGCGGGGAAACACAACCAGGTAGAGGGAAACACATCATCAGCCCGCCCCATCAGTGGGAAGGGCTACAGAAACACCCCCCACCAACCAAGACACAGAACAATGGGATACAGCACATGGCAGAGAACAATTGGACAACCAGGTGGCAGTGAACAATGGACAACCACCTGGCAGAGAACAAAGGACAATCCCACAAATAAGAGATACCTGTTTGCTCAAATTCACAAAAGCTAGTGCAGGTATCTCTTGTTTGTTGTATTGTTGGGTCAGTAGCCGGACCTGAACCTGGTATCTCTCCCCCATTGTGTCTTTTTCCCTATGTTAGCATTGTGTCCAACAGTAGCACTTGCGTAGGCAGAGCAGAGTAGGACTTTGGCCATAAAGGGATTACTTTGACACAGTTGGCCAGCTTAAGCATGTATTGCGATATGTTTGAACTAAATATCCCTATTTATTGCATGGTTTGCTTGAAAGGGTATATACCAGTGTGCAGAGGGTTCTTTGGAATTTTCTAGTGTCAAAGGACAATCCCCACACCAATACACAATACTAAGACATTCCCACCTGTACCCCTTAACAGGCACAGGGTGGGTTAAACATAAGAATTTGGGAAGATGACACAGGTATCCCCCACCCCAAAAGTCACTCCCATCACACTAACCTTGGAACTTTACATGCTGAGCATTACGTCCTTTCAGAGAAAGTTATTTGATGTTATTACACGCTTATCTAACTGATATCACTGGTAACAGGGGATGCAATGTAAGACCGGTGGAATGTGGTGTTTTTTTAATTGTTTTTAGATATCTTTGGCTAGCAGCCCTATTATTTAATATAGGTATAACACAAAAATCCACCAATCCTGGTTAAGTCCATAACTAATCATTTTTAGTCTAGTTCACTACTAGAGATGAGCGAAGTATTCAAAAATTCGATTCGACTGATTCGGCGAATTCGTGGAAAAATTTTGATTCGAGTCGAATATATTCGCTGCGAATTTAACTTATAAAAGGGTGTTTCTAGGCTTCAGAGAGACTTTATATTAGTGCAGAACACTGTACCTCTAATTTAAATGCCCTTGGAGTCTGCTGGGGAAGAGAAATAATACTGACAGTCAGTATGACATGCAGATGAGTGCCGTCGATCTTAGAATCACCGCACACTTCACTCATTTGGGCAGTCACGGGGCCAAAACCAGAGTGTGGAGCCACAGTGTGGCGGTGGAGGCAGCAGCAATGGGAGGCCATACAGCACCCTATGACAAAAATGGAAACCACCAGCAGTGTGAGGAGACCTGAAAGTGGCACATGGCAGAGTGTGGCGATGGAGACAGCAGCAATGGGAGGCCGTACAGGGACCCATGACACACTCTGGACCTGGCAGCAGCATGAGGAGGCGGTACAGGGGCCCATGACAGATTACGGGCCTGGCAGCAGCATGAGGAGTTGGTACGGGGGCCCATGGCAGATTACGGGCCTGGCAGCAGCAATGGGAGGCCGTACAGGGACCCATGACACACTCTGGACCTGGCAGCAGCATGGGGAGGCGGTACAGGGGCCCATGACAGATTACGGGCCTGGCAGCAGCATGAGGAGTCGGTACGGGGGCCCATGACACACTCTGGACCTGGCAGCAGCATGAGGAGGCGGTACAGGGGCGCATGACAGATTACGAGCCTGGCAGCAGCAACTTGGACAGGAGGAGACGTTCAGCTTCTGCACCGTCGGGTGCGTGCTCGCAAACTGTTGTCTCTTGGAAACGGATTCCAAGAAAGACTGCTGACGGAATCCGTGAAGAGGAGTAGCAGGAGAAGGAGCATCTGAACGAGCGGAATATGCCAACAAGCGACAACAGGGGCCCATGACAGATTACGGGCCTGGCAGCAGCATGAGGAGTCGGTACGGGGGCCCATGGCAGATTAGGGGCCTGGCAGCAGCTATGGGAGGCCCGTAATCTGCCAGCACCCTATGACAAAAAATGGAACCCACCAGCTGTGTGAGGAGACCTGAAAGTGGCACATGGCAGAGTGTGGCGATGGAGACAGCAGCAATGGGAGGCCGTACAGGGACCCATGAGAGACTCTGGACCTGGCAGCAGCATGAGGAGGCGGTATAGGGGCCCATGGCAGATTAGGGGCCTGGCAGCAGCTATGGGAGGCCCGTAATCTGCCAGCACCCTATGACAAAAATGGAACACACCAGCAGTGTGAGGAGACCTGAAAGTGGCACATGGCAGAGTGTGGCGATGGAGACAGCAGCAATGGGAGGCCGTACAGGGACCCATGAGAGACTCTGGACTTGGCAGCAGCATGGGAGGCGGTAATATAGGGGCCCATGGCAGATTAGGGGCCCTGGCAGCAGCTAATGGGAGTCCCGTAATCTGCCAGCACCCTATGACAAAAAAAATAACACACCCAGCAGTGTGAGGGACCTGACCTAAAGTGGCACATGTTTGGGGCATGATTCATGGCGGATTTTAGTCAGCAAATAATTTGTACAGGAACTGGGGTGAAATGGAGGCCCGTAATAATCCAGCACCTGATTCATGATGACACAAACAGCAGTCTCTCCACATGGCTGATTTGGGATGGACAGTGGCAGTCCTCCGGGAGGCCCGTACAGGGAACCAATACCTCCTGCAGCACTAAACAATGCGGACGATGCCAGCAGGCTATGGCCTGGGCATGGCCTGGTTCAAGGGGCGATGGCAGCAGCTAGTAGGGGCCAAAGGTCAAGTTTGTTGCCCACAGTAGTCACCTATGACCTCGCAACGTTCGGCAAAAAAGTAGGCCTAAGCAGTCCATGAGTCCTGCCTCCAGGACCTGATACTAGTGCTTGCAACCTGCTGGCTGGTACATGTTTCATACATGGATTTATCCATTCAATACCTCAACGGGCAGCCTGAGGCCTAGGGCCTAAAAGCTGCCACTGATCCTACCAGACCCATGGCCTGCTGGGGGGCCACTAGCATGGGAATGGGAGCTGCAGCATGGTCACTATGGTGTGGCACAGCAGGAGCTCCATGGCTGCCATGTTAATTATTATTCCTGCGCAACCAGGCCAGAGACACCATGGACTGGCCTAATCGCAGGGCACGCTCTGATGTTTACATAGGACTCCCAAACCTTTCTGTAGAAGCAGATCGATTAAGAGCGTCATCACTACAGAATCCTGGAAAAAGGCCACTATGATTATAGACTTGACATCGTGATCAGATGCCGGCAGCAGCAATGGGACAGTGCCCCAAAATTCTCTCCAGCACCCTGATATTTTAAAAATGGACTTCCACCTCCCATGGAATTAGCACAGGAGACCTGCCTATGGCCAGTTTTGTGGCTACAAGCTGCGGCGATGAGTAGTGACCTCCTGCCTCCTCACCCATGCGGAGACTGTAATACATCTGGAGGGGCGTATGTGGTCCCATTAATTGGACAGTCCTACTTGGATGCCCTGCTAATCTGCCCAGCCTATGTCAAAAATGCTCCTCATAACCTGTCAGCTTGTGTGTGTGAAAGGAGACCTGAAGTTTTACGTTGCATGTCAAAGTGAATTGGCAAGCTCCACCAAGTCAGGGCCTGGCAGTATGCAGGCACCCTGGCCATCCAGGGCCTGCCGCATTGAACAGCTGTAGCGTGGGACCACCCTGTAGCAGATTAGGGCACATTTGTATCAGCAGCATTGGGAGGCTACCATCCCAGCACCCATGACTTCATAGCGTGTTCTCCAATGGGATGTCACGCTGTTTTTGAGGAGACCTGGAAAGTGGCACATGGAGTGTGGCCTAATGGAGACACAGCATGTGGGTTGAAATTCTACACTGGGACCCATGTGACAACTCACCTGGCAGCACATGAGGAGGCGGTACATTATAGGGGCCCATGGCAGATTACGGGCCTGGCAGCTGGCAATGGAGGCCCGTAATCTGCCAGCACCCTATGTCACAAAAATTGGAACACACCAGCAGTGTGTGAGGAGACCTGAAAGTGGCACTGTGGCAGAGTGTGGCGATTTTGGAGACAGCAGCAATGGGAGGCTCGGTAGCCCATTGGACCCATTGAGATCCACTTTGTGGACTGACAGCAGAATGAGGAGGCGGTACTAGGCCCCTCCCATGCAGGCACCCTATGGCAGCATTGCCAACGGATTAGGGGCCGCAGCAATCCCTGCGGACAGCTGCCCTATGTCAAAAAAATTCGAACACACCAGTGGCGATGTGTGAGGAGATCTGAAAGTGGCACATGGCATGAGACACACCTGGCAGCAGCATGAGGAGGCGGTACAGGGGCCCATGGCAGATTTAGGGGCCTGGCTAGCAGCTATGGGAGGCCGTAATCTGCCAGCACCATTTATGTCAAAAAATGGAAACACCAGCAGCATGAGGAGGCCTGAAAGGGGCACTTGGCAGATGTACATGGACACTGGCAGAGCAATGGGAGGCCGTAAGGGACACCTCTGACAGACTCTGGACCTGGCCAGCATGAGGCTGTCGGTAAGGGCCCATGGCAGATTAGGGGCCTGGCAGCAGCTATGGGAGGCCCGTAATTTGCCAGCAGGTATTCAAAAAATTCAACACACCAGCAGTGTGAGGAGACCTGAAAGTGGCACCCATGCATGAACCACTGTGGGACCTGGCAGCAGCAATGAGGACATGTCCAGGTTGGGGCCATGCAGATTAGGGGCCGGCAGCAGCTATAGGGAGGCCCGTAATCTGCCAGCACCCTATGACAAAAAATGGAACACACCAGCAGTGTGAGGAGACCTGAAAGTGGCACATGGCAGAGTGTGGCGATGGAGACAGCAGCAATGGGAGGCCGTACAGGGACCCCATGAGAGACTCTGGACCTGGCAGCAGCATGAGGAGGCGGTATAGGGGCCCATGGCAGATTAGGGGCCTGGCAGCAGCTATGGGAGGCCCGTAATCTGCCAGCACCCTATGTCAAAAAATTGAACACACCAGCAGTGTGTGTGAGGAGACCTGAAAAGTGGCACATGGCAGAGTGTGGCGATGGAGACAGCAGCAATGGGAGGCCGTACAGGGACCCATGAGAGGACTCTGGACCTGGTCAGCAGCATGAGGAGGCGGTATAGGGGCCCATGGCAGATTAGGGGCCTGGCAGCAGCTATGGGAGGCCGTAATCTGCCAGCACCCTATGTCAAAAAATGAACACACCAGCAGTGTGAGGAGACCTGAAAGTGGCACATGGCAGAGTGTGCGATGGAGACAGCAGCAATGGGAGGCCGTACAGGGACCCATGAGAGACTCTGGACCTGCAGCAGCAGCATGAGGAGGCGGTATATAGGGGCCCATGGCAGATTAGGGGCCTGGCAGCAGCTATGGGAGGCCCGTAATCTGCCAGCACCCTATGTCAAAAAATTCAAACACACCAGCAGTGTGAGGAGACCTGAAAGTGGCACATGGCAGAGTGTGGCGATGGAGACAGCAGCAATGGGAGGCCGTACAGGGACCCATGAGAGACTCTGGACCTGGCAGCAGCAGCATGAGGAGGCGGTATAGGGGCCCCATGGCAGATTAGGGGCCTGGCAGCAGCTATGGGAGGCCCGTAATCTGCCAGCAC